AGGCGGAAGGATCGCCAGAGCCCAGCAGGTCGAGGCTGCAGTGGCCAGCAGCGGCCACTGCACTTCAGTCTGGGTGACAGAGTGAGACTCCAACTCAAAAAAAAAAAAAAAGATATTAAAATATATACAAAAGTTGTGATTGATAAAACATCGTAGTACTGTCGCAAGAATCAACAAATATCAGTAGGACAGCACAGAAAGCTTAGAAACTGAAAGTAAAAAGATAAGAACCTATATACAATAAAAGAAGCATCATAAACAAATGAGGACAGAATTACTCAACAGTATTAAATGCAAAAATAAGCAAGTATAAAACAGCTTTAAGAAAATTTAGGAAAATGTTTAATCTTGAGATAGAAAGAATTTTCTAAACATAAAAGCAATGGGAAAGATCAAAAGGTATTGCTAGATTTTACTCCATCAAATTTATTGACAAATACAAACTGGGAAAAATACTTTAACCAAATGATTGATGTCACTATGCTGCAAAGAACTCTTATAAACCAATCAAAGAACACCAAATACTCGAAATAAGAGAGTTCAGAAAAGAATTCAGCAAAGTGACTGAAAAAAATGGTAATAAACAGAAAATATACACATGAGCAATAAATATATGAAAAATTTCCTAACACACTAATAATCAATGAAATACAAACTTTTAAATAAATGAAATTGGTGAAAATGAAAAACACACTGAAATTCTCAATGCAGATCCGATGTGATGATGCTCACACTGTCTCCTATACTGCTGATGGGCGGGTAAATTTCCTTTCAGGAAAACACTTTGGTAATGTGTATCAAGAATCTTTTAAATATGCATATCTTTTAAATGAATTAACAAGCAGCAGCAGTAGTAAACTGAGAAACAACACAAATTTAAGTGAAATACATACCCTAATAGGTGTCAGTCCTTCCCCAGATTCAGGGAGCTATTCCACTCCTTGCTCAGTTTTTTCATTCATGAAATAAAGAGAATTAATAGTACTAATCTCAGAAGACATGCAAGTCACTTAGCACAGTGTCTGACATCCTCTAAGTGGTAAGTAAATGTTAGCTATTATTAAAACATATCTGGATTACACTCCCACCAGCAGGGTACAAGTGTTCCCTTTTCACCACATCCTCTCCAGCATCTGTTTTTTTGTTTTTTGGGGTTTTTTTGAGTTGGAGTCTCACTCTGTCGCCCAGACTGGAGTGCAGTGGTTGCTCCCGGCCACCGTAGCCTCGACCTGCTGGGTTCCAGTGATCCTTCTGCCTCAGCCTTCCAAGTAGCTGTGAATTACAGGCACGCGCGACCACGCCCAGCTGATTTTTTGATTTATTGTAGAGGTGAGGTCTCGCTGCCCAGGCGGGTCTCAAACCCATGGGCTCAGGCAATCCACTCACCTCAGCCTCCCAAAGGCACAGGATTACAGGCTGAGCCACCGAGCCCGGCTCCAGCATCTGTTATTTTTTGAGTTATTGATGATGGCCATCCTTACTGAAGCTAGGTGGTATCTCAGTGTAGTTTTAATTTGCATCTCCTTGATGACTAGTGAGGCTGAACATTTTTTCATGTATCTATTGGGTGCTCATATGTCTTCTTTTGAGAAGTGTCTATTCATATCTTTTGCCCACTTTGTAATGGGGCTGTTTGTTTTTTTTCTTTTCAGCACGTTTGAGTTCCTTGTAGATCCTCGATGTTAGGCCTTTGTCAGACATGGTGTTGGCAAATATTTTTTCCCAGTCTGTAGGCTGCCTCCCTGCTCTCTTGATGGTTTCTTAAGCTTGTCAGTTTAATGAGGTTCCATTTGTCTGTCTTATCTCTTATGGCATGGGCACTTCGGGTTTTGATCAGGAACTGGTTGCCAGTTTCAACTTCCATAAGAGTGTCTCCTGCATTTTCTAAGATTCTTATTCTGTGGAAAACAGTGTGGCGATTCCTAAAAGTTCTAAAAATCGACCTTCCATATGACCCTGCAATCCCCCTACTGGGAATATACCCTGAAGAACTCAGATCACTCTATAAAAAAGATACCTGCACACGTATGTTTATCGCAGCATTGTTCACAATAGCAAGAACATGGAACCAACTGTGCTGCCCATCAAAAGAGGACTGGATTAAAAAAAAATGTGGTACATATACACAATGGAATATTATGCAGCCATAAAGAAGAACAAAATCATGAACTTCACAGCAACCTGGATGGAATTACAGTTTATAATACTGAGTGATCTTTCACAGAAACAAAGATATGTGTATCACATGTTCTCGCTCATAAGTGGTCCTTGAACAGCTACCGTAATACTGTAACAAAAGGATTGACAGTAGCAGGAAACTGCGGGGAGGGGGGTGGGATTGACAGTAGTCGAGATCTGCCTGGGGAGGAGGGGCACACCTCATCAACAAGGGTACCTGCTCAATGAATATTTGTATACCTAACCCTGAATTGTACCCCACAATTAAAAAAATAAAATAAAACAAAGAAAAGACTATATTCACATATATCAATAAAGATAATCTTAAAAACCAAAATACCCATATCTGGATATATATATATATAAGTGTGTAGTGTGTGTGTGTGTGTGTGTGTGTGTGTGTGTGTGTGTGCAAAGTTCATAATTTTTGGTTCATTCAACTTCTGGGAATTTAGCCTAAGAAAAAATTCAGGCACTCAGACTGATTTGTATACAAGGATGTGCATCATATCTTTATTTGTAGAAGTAAAAACCATGGAAACAATAGGATAATAAGTGAATTAGAATTATAGTACATTCGAATGATGCTGCAGTGTTATACAATTATTAAAAATGATTGTGCTTTTGAAGACAGTCTAATGACAAGGAAAAATTCTAACAAGTGAAAAAAGCAGGGTATAAAACTGACGATATAGTGGCATCAAATTTTGAAAGACTAATTTATTATACATTTTGTACATAGAAAGGCAGTTAAGAAAAAAGTCAACTAAGATACTGACCAATAAATATACAAGCAATGTCTCTCTTTTCATGGTGGGATCATAAGTTATTTTTCTTATATCATTTAGTATTTTACACATTTTTATAACAAATATGTATTATACCCATTATCATGTAATTTAAAAAGAAAAACAAATATATGTATGTATTTAATCAGTTGCTTAACTATGTGAATAGGCTCCTGTAAGTGATCGTTTTACTGCCATATTCAATGTATAACTTTGGAAAACAAATTATAAAGATAAATGTTTTTATTTTTATGTATGCTTTCCAGTCTTTTTTTATGTATATGAAAAGATATTCTCTACTTTCTAACAAATCCTACTGTTTACTATACAACAAGCCCTTTGGGAGCCAAGGTCTATGCTTTATTTGTCTGTGTGTCCCTTCAGTGCCAAAAGCACTTATATGCACATTGTAGGCACTCAGTAATTTATGGGTTGAATCATAATCAGAAGAGTCTGAAATTTTTCCACCATAAGATGTAAATGATTACTAAGTCTTAGTGTTACTACTTCCGGACATATATGCATTTAAATCAATCAATTTTCCTACCAAAGAAAGATTTATTAAGATCTGGCACACAAAAGGCATTGTTTAGGTACTTTGAGGGATATGTAGAAGTGGTTCCTACCTTTTAAATGCTTATAATCTAATCTAATTATAGGATGAATCAGGAAGTTGGAAGAAGCAAGAAGAGAACTACAGTTATTGAGGTATTATTATATGTTAGGCACTGTTAGGCAATTTATGTACATGGGTTTTTTACAATGAATCTTTAAGGCAGAATTTTTATTCACATTTTCTTTATTTCTCACACAACACAGATGTATATTCACATTTTATAAATGTGAAAATGGAGGTACAGACAGTTATCTAAGTTCACACAGTCAGTGGCAGATCTGGAATTCAAACCCTGGACCTTCAGGTATGTGTGTGTGTGTGTGTGTGTGTATGTGTGTGTGTGTGTGTGTGTGTGTGTGTGTGTGTGTGTGTGTGTGTATGCTTGCTAATAGTGCTAAATATTGTAGGAGAGGCAGGAGAACAATGGTTAAGAGTCTGGGTTCCAGAAATAGTCATCTAGGTTTGAATCCTGGTTCTCCACTTACAAGCTGTATACTCTTGGGCAAGTTACTTAACTTTCCTGGGTTTCAATGTGCCCATTCATAACACAGGGAATCATACCTAGCCCACAGTGTTGCTGTAAAGATTAAATGAGTAAATACAAGTAAAGGGCAGTGTCCAGGCACCTAGTAGCTAGCCAACAAATATTGGTTATTGTTATAGAAAATTGGAGTAGGAAGAAATCAAATCCAGTGGGAATGGATCAGGAAAGACTTTTATAAGGGAAGTGACATTGAAGAAAAGGTTGAATACTGGTAGAGAGATGGCAGGGGGGATAAGAGATTAAAGGTAGGGGAGGTGGGAAGGTTCAGGTTGTATGGGGTCATGAGTAGATAGATGAAGGGTGGTTCCTGGCAGTGGGAGCTATTGAAAGACAAATTGCCAAAGAGAGACGGGGTCAAAATGTGGAGGGCCTTAAATGCCAAATGAAAAACTCTGGAGTTAACCACTGGGCATGGGAGCTATTAAAGGTTTTGAGGAAGAGGAAGATAAAGCCTTCCCCAGCAGTAGTCAAGCCTGACAACTTTAAAGTTTTATCCCTGAGTGTTACCAACTTCAGAAATAATAACTCTCTGAGGACTAATGTTTTGATTGAGGGAAGGGAAAGGGGGCGAGAAAGAGAGAGGTGGAATAAAGGGAATGGAAAACTGAAGGACATAAGTGGGAGGGATAGATGAAAAGAAAGCCGGGTGGGAAGTGATAGGCCATCGCCCCTAATTCCTCATTCCTAGGGCCGCTCAGTGACTGAACTCCAAGCATAACCTACCTTCTCCACATTTAAGATTTGAAGTTTCCATCTCAGTTTAGGGCTTGCTTCATTTAACTTAAGAGACTTTCCTTTTGGCCTGTGAGGATGAAACGTAGGGCATTAGGACCCAGCGATTGTTGTAGTGAGAGTGGTTGAGTCTCGATCTCTCAATTTTTCTCTCGAGCTCCCTCCTCTCCCTTTGTCATTCTAGCAGCCTGCTGCCTCTGCAACGTCCCTCCAGCTCTCTCTGTGCTAACTGCCTGCGCCTTAGATCGGGTGCGTAAAGCAGAAGGATTAGTTGGGACCTGCCTTGGTGACCCCATGGCATCGCCTAGAACCGTTACTATCGTGGCCCTTTCAGTGGCCCTGGGACTCTTCTTTGTTTTCATGGGGACAATCAAGTTGACCCCCAGGCTCAGCAAGGATGCCTACAGTGAGATGGTAAGTGAAGTAAACGGGTTCTGAGGAGCGCGCCCCCATGGGATTGTGAGCGCCTCTCCCCTTGTTTCCTTCTCAGTCTGTGGTCCCATCCCCTTAAACCCTACCCACCCCGGACCCTTCCTTGTCCCCAACAACTTTGCAGCTGGGCGACAGCTAATCCATTCGTGGGCTATGCTGTTTTGGAGCCACTGAATGCCGGTTGGGGGAGGGGCTGCCCAGCGAGTACCCCTGACTCAAGTAAACCAGAAGGATGAGACCTGCGTAGCACCTGTCATTGGTAGGAGCTTTTCCCTCCTTCCAGCACATCCCAAAGTCCGGTCAACCAGTCTGCAAGTCTGGTTCCCTCCCTCCGAGCTAAGAGTTTAGCAAGCTGGAGAGTTTATTTATTTTAGGGCAGAACAAAGGGGAAAGAGGGAAAGGGATGGGGAAAATGGGTTACTAAAACAATCAACTTGTAGGGGTGGGCTAGGTATTCCTCATCACAGGCAGAGAGCTGATAGTATTTCTTTAGCCACCCGGGTATGTATCTGAATTCTTGAGACAAAGCAGTCTTGGCCCAAATAAAGGTCACTGAGCTCCTGCTTCTTCCCTTTCTCTCAAGGGATAGCTGGATGTTTTGTTTTATTTTGTTTGGTGTGTAGGCTATTTTGCAAAGTCTGTTTTTTCTCTCTTGCAAAACAGTCCATAATCCCCACCTTGCCTCCTGTGGATGCCCAGGGCCGGGCCCTCTGCAGGTTTTCCCCTCTGCAGAGTTGGAATCGCTGAAGGTGACTGGCCAAAATATTGCCTCTGCAACCTGGGGGCTGGGCTACTTTCCCCAGTTGGGCGTGATGAGGACTTGCACTTATGCTGTGGAATACTAGGAGATGGCAAGAGATGTTTCCAGCACTTTCAGTTCTCTCCCCCGTGAGTTACCTGGCCTCTTCGTTTCTCTGTCCCAGCTGACAGGACCCTGCTTCTTGCAGCCTTTGCCAAACTGCCAGTAATGGGAGGGAGCACATTACTGGGCTCTCAAGGTCAAGAAGAAAAGGAGTTTAGGGGAGGAACAGAAGGGAAGAGAGAGAAAAGGGACTCCCTGTTAGGGCCGAGGCTGGGAGAAATAGCCCCACACGTTGAGTGGAATTAATAGCTCTCTTAAAGCTACTGCAGAGCTTTCCAGGGCCTCTCAACGTGAGCTGCAAATGGATGGAGGCTGGCAAATTGTAGATGCTCAGAAAATGTTTGCAGGCAGCTCTGGCTTCTTTCTTGGGATTTAAGCTGTAGCTTTCCATTTCTTCCTCTCCACAGGATCACCCTGGGGGTGGGGGAGGGTGGCTGAGACTCAAGGTCTTAGGTCTAGCCCCAGTGGCAAATCCTAATATGCTTCTTTCCCCCTTCCCTCCTCCCAGCATGTTTGACCAGATGGAAATGAAATCAGGTCAAAATGAGTATCCAAGGCAGGCTACAATGGGGAGAGTAGGGGGAGGGTGGGGTAGTAAAAGACACCAAAGGATTTGAAGATGTTGGGGAAGAGGGAAAGGATGGAGGGGAAATGCCACTATATTTTTTTCTTGGCGGTAGTAGTTTGGTGTTAGACTATGAATATGCTCTTGCTTTACTTGTCATACATATATATTTCTGTACGTGCACTGTAGATATTTGTAAGCTTTCCTTTGCCTTAGGGACATAGTATCCTTCTTCAGTATTGTCCCTGCCCACCAAATCCTAGTCAACTGCTTTAGTGGCCCCCCAACTTGTACCCTAAGTACAGTTTTAGGTTCTGCAAGCAATACAACTAAGATGGAGTCACCGGGAAGCTTTCTACCAGCGTGGCTGGAGCTCACAAGGAGGACCAGCCACAAATGGGTTTACAGTCGGTTTCTTCCTAGAAAATGGAGTTATCTATTGCAGTCTAATGAAAGGTAGAAAAAACAAATATGAAGGATTCATATCATACATAGGAACATATTTAAATAGGTATAATCTAACACAGCAGTATTGAACCTGCATATGTGTGTGTGTGTGTGTGTGTGTGTGTGTGTGTGTGTGTGTGTGTACCACACTTCTGTGCTTTTGCACCCAGGGACATCTAGAGGGAATGTAAAGACTATATCTGACTGGGAGATAGATGTAGATGTCATAGTGGTATGAAGAAGCTGGAAGAGGATTTTTCAGACTGCTCCTTTCCAGGGTTCCTGTCTGCACTGTGCATCAGGCCACAAGCTGGAGATGGCTCTCTGGCATAGGCTCTACTGCATAGAGCCTGGGTTTGGCCCAGGTTTATTCTTGTGCCCATAGGAAAGGAAGGGAAATTCAGTTATAGTACAAAGAAGGAGCACAATATATATTTGAGGAATGGAAGGGTGAATGAACGAGTCACTGTAGCATTGCCTTGGCTGGTCACCTTCAGATTTCTCTGGTTGAGTCTTGATTATGCAGTTCAGGATCCATTTCTTGCTTCTTAGAAGGGGACCACAGTCCTTCAGAAACCCAACCCTAGATCAGCTGGGATAATTATCTGGGATGTTCTGTTTTCCATTTAGGAGTGCTTCCTCTGCATTGATGGGGTTAGTCATTAATTGACTGCAGTGACATTTCTTATACAATCTCAAAGTGGTGGTGTTGCTGTCATTACTTTAAGATTGTTTGTTCTTTAAAACATCTCTGTGAGGTAGATTTATTTTATTAGTTATTCTTATTTTACTGATGGATAAACTGAAGCAGAGCAAGTTTAATGACTTATCTAAGGCTGGTAAGGCAAGCTGTTGTTGGAATAGAGATAAGAAACCAAATCCATACTGAATACTGCCAGTAGAGGGGTCATTAATGGCTAAAACTGTTGGGTTTTTATGGATGCCAGAACCTACAACTGATTCTTTAAAATACCTGACACATCCTTCTTCCTCTTTTGTACCAGTTTAACTATCCAATCCATATTTTGGGGCTTTATTTTACTTCAAAATTAATTTTTAAAATTTTATTTTTTGACTTTTCTGCCAATTTTTTCCCCTAAAAACACTAGGGTTATGTATAAGTTTTATCCCCTCCTGGGGAATCACTGCTAAAAACCAAATAACTATTAACGTTTATCTTGTCTCTGCTGGAGAAGCCAGGCTTTGGAGTTATACAGTTTTAGGTTCAGGCTCTGGTACTCTTGGTGTTTCAGTTTCCTTATTCATAAAATGAAAATAAGAATGCTTATTTCAGAAGATTGCAAATATTAACTTGTATAACTTGAGATTACATACCAAAGTATCTGGTGTTTGCTATAATAGATGATCAAGAAAGCTTCTGGGTGAGGTGATTATGATAAGTGATTCTATTTTATGCATTAGTTTCCAAACTAATTTCAATGGCCAGTTTAAGGGATTGAAATCAAGCATTTAGAAATACAAGATGTCATTTTCAAGTACCCTGGTGAACAGACCTTTAAATGCAATCAACTTATTGAAAAATTTACATTTGCTGCTGTGTAATGCATAGTGGATTCCACGCAGAACTTCCAGATGCATCTCTGAATAACCCGTTTGGCATGTGTTGTCCCATACCTCCTCCAGATTTACCAAGTATCATTATAGAGTACTCTAAATCCCACGTGAATTTCAACACGACCGGCCATTCTCTTGACTAAATGCCTTCATTAGTTCACTTGAAATTGGGAGATAGCATTTACAAGAGCTAGTAAGCAATTTCCTGTGCAGTGACTTGAAATATGTAAATAGTCGACTTGCTTTAAATTTGGTATTCAGCTTTTTGTAGTAGTGGTTTCATCCTGTAAGCACAGGGGCCCACAAATAGAAAGGTAAGAAAACATCAAAATTCTGTCACAATGAAGCCAAGGGATTTTGACCTGAGGACAACTGGGCAAGTCTCTGATTATTTGCATCCCTGCATAGTAAAGGTTTGTTGATTTGACTGAGTTGCTTATCTATAGTTAAATGCCCTCCTGTTTGTATAACCCTGAGAAAACACTCCCAACATGACTGGGCAGTTTAATGTTCATAAGTAATGTTTTAAGCATCCGATCACTGCCATTAATTGCTTCCCAACTAGATAATAAGATAGTAATTCAATGATGTCTAGACTGCTCTCTGAGATGGTTTATTATTTTAGAGAGACATCTGAGACCCAGAGATGTGAAATGACTTTGTTTGGTTCACGCAGCCTGCCATCACAAGCTAAACTTCATGCTGGAGCTTAAATCGGGAAGCTTGTAGCCTCTCAGTGTGCCCAACAGCTGAGTTTGTTTCAGAGCGACCTTTGACTGACAGTAGGAATCAAGACCCTTCTGCTCTAAGATGAAATCTGAGAAGGATCCACTTTGATTAGTAGGATCAGGCTTGCCAGCTTCCTCTTGAGGTGGGCATTATATGATAAAAAGCAAAAATTGCTTAAAAGATGTTTATCATTCATATGAATATCTGGCAATTAAACATGTGATGGAATGGCTTTTTATTGTATTTTAACAATGATCTATGATTCACATGTGGCTTTATTTCTTACAAAGATTCAGAAAAATTGTATATGTCAGTAAATTTTGCAGCACTTATGTAGGCTTTACGGTTTAAGATAGCAACCAGGCTGAGATTTTTAGCCAAAATATATTTTTGTCAGTGCTGTCTTTTGCTTTTATATAGTTTTTACCCTGTACATTTTATTGGTGCATATCATATATACCAAAACATGAACATAAGTGTACAACTCAAGGGATTTTCAGAAAACTACTGTGTAACCAGCACCCATATCAAGAAACAGCACATGACCAGCACCCCAGAAACCTTCTCTTCCAGTTACTACACCCCTCAAGGGTAATTGCCATCTTGACTTCTAACAACATAAGTTAGTTTCATCTAATTTTGAACTTTGTACACATGGAATTATTCAGTTATTTAGCCAATTTATTTTTTTCGTTTACCTAATCTACATAAGTGAACTAAAGTGGACCAAACCACTTGCCCTCTGTTCCCATTTTGTCTTGTCAGCTGGCCTGGGTTGGTTATTAATTGTAATCAAAGATGAAT